TTTTTTTCTTCCAACGCTGGACTCCAGAGTGATGGTGTCGCCCAAGGTCTCTTGGGGTCTTCTGCCCTATGAGACAAACCATATAACATATTTCTATGCGGATTTATTATAGTTTATATCTTGCAGGGGATGGAGAAACTTACAGAGACTAATGTCCAGTACCTGGCGCCAGCTCTGTGTGGCAGGCTGCCGCTGTTCCAGATCACCCCCACACCCATCCACAGTCTCTGTTAAGTTTTGTCCATGCATCTTGGGCCCACAGTCTTGCCCCAGGTTGGTAAATACCCCCTCTGGTGAAGCATGTGAGAAGTCAGGGCTACCTTTTTCTCTGTGCCCACTCCATGCATTCTCCATGCCTACCACCTCACGTTCCTGGAAGCTCACAGCTTCCATCCCAAGATGGCGCCACAAGTCCCTCCTTCCATGGCTTACTAGCCACAGCCAATTCTCTACAGCAGGCCTTACCCCTTGGAGGACCCAGGGTCCCTGAGGAACACACTCCACCCCTTTCCTCCGCTCTTACAATCTTTCTGCCAATCTTCTGCTAAGGTCCCTGAGCCTTGGAGGGGGTGACAAATGTAGGGCAATTTCTCTTGTATCATGGTGAGATGGTGATTTCTTGGGCCTCCACATTATTTGTCTTTAAGCTGTGGCCATTGATCTATCACAGTGGTGTTTCTTCTACTATAAAGACAAATGGAAGGAAGTAAATACTTTTAAACAAACATGGATGTAAATATAAATGTCTAGACAGTATCCCAGTAAGTGTACTATATTCATTAAACAGTATACTTGTGATGGCTTCCCCATTATGGCCTGTAGCCTTTCTCAACACAAAGCACTGGCCTGGTCTACAGCACCAGATGTGAGTTCCACCCCTAGGAGTGGGCCTTGTACAATTAGAAATTTGTCAGTTTTAAGTATGTTGTTTGAGCCATTATTACACTTGCAGGCATTGCTTGGCATGTCCATAGTATACAGCACATGGGATCCATTATTGAGTATAATCATAGGGGATCCTTTCTTTCCCAACTATCTTCATTGCATCTTCTGGCAATATGAATGTCATCCATCTAGTGGCATGGAGTTTTGGGGGCTTATCTTAGCTCCATCTATTCTTCTTCTCCCGTGCTCACATCATGCAGTGTCTTCAGCAACATGAGCTTACTGACCTTTCTAGTATACAACCGACATTAATGGCACCAGTCTTGGTGAATCTGAGGACCTCTAGGATTGCTCTCTGACCAACAGCTCATAGGGGATCAACCTACCCCTGGTACTGTAGATTTTAAAAGTTGTATATTTGGGAGTCTCTGTCTTCATCTTACCCAACCATAAAACTCCCAAGAATCTTATAGCTACAGCTGGCCTTTGCTCCTTCAGGTATTTTTTAAACAGGCATCACATCTGTAAAACACTTAAAAGAAGGTTAACTTTATATATTAAATCAATCATAGACAAGGTCTCACACAGCATGGAAAAGTTTTATACATTTGTATTAACTGTTTTCAAAGATCCTTGTTAGGTACCATAACATGGGTAGGAGGCATTAATTTGATTAGCTCTTTACCATCTTTAGTTATCCTTTTGGAGTCATTTTGCACTTGGGGGGGTTTACATGGAGTCCCTTTGTATTCTTTTATTCTTGATATACTTACATGTGTTGGATCCAGTTGCCTGACCCTGCACTGGGATAAGGAGGCAGGGGGATTCCCCCGTTCCTACTGCACCTGTTGGTTCCCTGAGTCTGGCAGGCCCTGGGTCTGCCTCCTGACTGTTGCCATATCTGTCATTTCTCCATTGACCACACCTGATTGCTGGGGGAGGCCTTGGTTGGAAAAACTGCCTTCACCTCTGTTATAGCTTTATCAGAAAAGAAATGCATCTTATTTAATCCTTGGGGACTCTTAACCACCCCGGGACAGTTTTATCCCTTGAATGCCTTTTGCAAACTGTTTTTCTGGTTTTAAAGCCTTCCAGAAACTCATTAGTACTGAATTTGGTTTTCTAACATTTTTTTGGGGGGGGGTGGATTTGGGCTCAACATATGTCTTGCCACATTTGTCTTCAAGTAACCCAAGTAGACCATTTCTTCAGTCTGATTTATTTTATATCTCTTAGAGGATGTTCTGTTATTCTACAGACATGTTTAACATGCTGGTCAGAATCATTTAGATTTGCCAAAGCCTCTCTCACTTTACAAAGATCCTGTCCCATTAAAGGGCTTAGTAAAACTATTAAAGCCCCATACCATTCTCAAGGTCCCAGTTGACTTAAGCTTTCTTTCATATCTCTGGTGAACACAGTCTTATCTGGCCCAGTGAACAAACATCATATATTGCTTTTCTCATACCTAGCTCTCTCAGCAATGCCTGCCCCTCCTTTATAGTCGTCCATCCCCTGCTAATCATGTTAGTCTCCCTTGGTAACAACCATGTGTCTTTACTGCCTTCAACCAGTCACCCCCTTAGGACTGGTCCCCCCCTTGAATTGGCCTAGGTTGAACAGCCTCTATTGTCTCCTTGATTGCTTGCTTGTAAGTTTTTCCAAGTTTTAACAGTTCCAGTGTGGAATATTTCCTAGCTAAAGCACTGTTAGGTTTTTATTTATTTATTTATTTTTTGTATCAGTGGTTGAATCTGAGGGACAGCTTTAGCTACTTTTGTTTTTAGGTAATCTTTTTTTTTTACTATTATCTGTCTTTTCCTCTGTGTCCTTGGACCTTACAAGTTAAAGTGTCCCACTTTTTTTTCTCTCTCAAGCTCTTCAACTGGATCTGCCAGGACCTGCCTAGCCTTTTCAGCTTCCCCTGCCTTGGGCACATCTTTTATTATACAAAGTGGCCACGACCCCTCTCTGGGCACTCCATTTGTGTCCAGAGCTAGTAAAAGATTTTTTAGCCTCTGGACAAATTTTAACAAATCTTCACATACTGGCAACACACCCACATATTTACAGCACAGCTGCGACCCACGCTTCTGCACGGCCGGACCCTTTTAAGTTACATATTTTACAATACATTGTAAAAACCACATCAGCACCACCATCATCTCTCTAGTTTTTTCCAAATTTACATGGTTTGTCAGCAACTTCATCCTGCTGACTACGTGAATTTTGTCACCCGAGTTCTCTCAGGGTCTCTTGTGCTCTCAGACAAACCATATAACATATTTTTATGGGAATTTATTAAAGTTTATACCCTGAGGGGGTTAACTCACAAAGAGGCAAACACCGGGTGCCCATCTCTGTGCCATGTCTCTGAGCCCACCATTCCAGATTGCCAGCATGCCACTCCACATCACTCCTGTGGCCTGCCCACAGTCACCTCAAGGTTTGTGGGTCCGTAGTCTTGCACCAGGTTGGTCAATGCTGGGCGATTTGTTCTTGTGCATGGCTCCTGTCCAAGATGGCGCAGAAAGCCCCTCCTCCCATGGCTAGCTCTTCACAGTCAATTATCCTCAGCAGCCCCCACCCTTGGAGGAAATAGGCTGTTCAGGATACAGGATCTGACACCCTCTTGACTCCTGTTTTCCACATATGTGTGCATTCATACACAGGGACATGGATATATACACATAACCATGAATAAAACCTAATTCTTTTTTAAAGTGTGCTCTGACATTGTCTCTGGATGAAGTGATAATCAGCACTTTGTTCTACAGATAAAGATTTTTATCTTTATGTGTTACCTCTTTTTGCTGCAGCTGACTCCGGCATACTGGGGATATCCTCAGACCAAGTTATGCTTTTGCCACCACCCAAGCATGAAATGAGTACTTCTTATCATGTTTCTGGCTGTCAATCATCCTTTCCTGAAATAATGGAAAATTGGAGTTCCTTCTATCAGGTTCTTTTAAGTTTTGTATCACATACTGGCTTGTCACTTAATGCTTTTTGTAGAAGAGTGCTTTTGTACATTTTATACTATTTTCCTTAATATGAAAATGCAAGCAGTACAGTAGATATTTTACTAATATATGTTGTAGAATTGCAGTGCATGCCGTAAATGCCAAACATTCCTATACGGTATGAACACAAAATTTATCTTTTCTCTTCACTTGAAGTAAATTATAATAGAAATGGAAAGCACAAAGGGTATACCACACAGGAATAGACAAGCACGTGTGGTTAATTTGAGCTGTAGGTCAACTGTAAGATCTTAAACAAAATGGAATTACACAAATGATTTTACACAGGTCTATTTAGTTTTGTAATAAAATTAATAAAGTATTGCTTGTCAGGTGATCTGTACACTAATATGTTAAATATTAAATGACCTAAAAATATTGGCCAAACATAGACATGGATTAACATATAGAAGTTAAAAGTACCAAACGGTTTTCCCCTTTGCCAATATTAGATGCTAAGATATTACATATATTAATTCTTCCAAGAGTATTCTCACTTCATAAAGAATATTGCTCAACTATATTTCTCCACCAGTTTAAATTTCAGTGACAGCTTCTCACGTAAAATTTCTTCTCTACGATTTTGTACATTGAGTCAACTTCCAGTAAATTTATAGACTTCCTGAAGTACTACTGGAATGCTCAAACCAAATCCTTAGAATACCCTGCCACTGTCTTTAAAGACATGTAAAAATGATTCATACTCTTCTCTTTACTATTTATTTTAATTTTTACAAAATCTTTATTGAGAATTTCATACATGTGTATAAGTTGTTTGGATCAAATCCATGCCCACTGCCTCATCTCCAACATTCCCCTTTCTGAAGGTAATCTTTTAAGGATTAGATACAAGCTCCCAAATACTTTTGATATTTTTGGAATTGGAACGTTTATCTGTCTTTTCCTCTGTGTCCTTGGACCTTACAAGTTAAAGTGTCCCATTTTTTTTTCCTCTCTCAAGCTCTTCAACTGGATCTGCCAGGGCCTGCCTAGCCTTTTCAGCTTCCCCCAGTCTTTTTACCTTAACTGTCTAGCTAATTCCTGCCTCCTATGCTTATCACATCATCCTCTGAAAGGGTTACCATGCCTTGGGCACATCTTTTATTATACAAAGTGGCCACGACCCCTCTCTGGGCACTCCATTTGTGTCCAGAGCTAGTAAAAGATTTTTTAGCCTCTGGACAAATTTTAATTGCCAATAGGGAATAGTGACACAGACCACTCTGGCTTCTTCCATGCTGACCAGGGACACAAGGTGAGGCAATTGTCATACCCCTTCACTGGGTCTATGTAAAAGACTCCCAAACTAACAAATCTTCACATACTGGCAACACACCCACATATTTACAGCACAGCTGCAACCCATGCTTCTGCATGGCTGGCCCCTTTTTAGTTACATATTTTACAATACATGTAAGGAGAAAAGAAAGTCCTTGAATCCTGAATAGGAGATGTGAAGGAGAAGTAAAGGCAAGAGTAATTGGCATTACAAGTTCTAGGCAGGAAACTAGAAAAAAGTCAATTTTCAAATGTTAGTGCAAGACTATGGGCCCACAAACCTTGCAGTGACTGTGAGCAGGCCACAGGAGTGATGTGGAGTGGCATGCTGGCAATCTGGAATGGTGGGCTCAGAGACATGGCACAGAGATGGGCACCCGGTGTTTGCCTCTTTGTGAGTTAACCCCCTCAGGGTATAAACTTTAATAAATTCCCATAAAAATATGTTATATGGTTTGTCTGAGAGCACAAGAGACCCTGAGAGAACTCGGGTGACAAAATTCTTCCATGCTGACCAGGGACACAAGGTGAGGCAATTGGTGTACCCCTTCACTGGGTCTATGTAAAAGACTCCAAAATTGCATAACTCTTGTCTCTAAGGGGAAAAGAAAATCCTTGAATCATGAATAAGAGATGTGAAGGAGAAGTAAAGGCAAGAGTAATTGGCATTACAAGTTCTAGACAGGAAACTAGAAAAAAGTCAGAATAGGACAATTTTCAAATGTTCATATGAAAGTCCATTGGAGTTTCTTGACAAGGGCTTCCAAAAGTATCCATCTATTGAGTTCTTCTTCATTTTTTTTTTTTCGTCTTCCCAGGCTTAAATAGTTGGGTGGGAGGAGTGGCTGGATACTCAGGTGAGGGTCCAGTGACCCTGCTTGGCACTCCTTTAATGAATGAGCTCAACCATCATCTAGCCCAATTGTGACTATATTTAGCACTCTGGCTCAGCCAAAGTGGTGATGATGGTAGTTATTTCATGCAGAAGGGACTGCTGTATAGCATCGTCTTATTAAAAGGACCTGGAATTTAAAAGAATTTGGTGCTAGGAGCCACAGATGAGGGAGAACGAACATATGTCATTTGTTTTTCTGAGTCTGTGTTACTTCAGTTAGTCTAACAGTTTCTAGATCCATCCATTTACCCGCAAATTTCATTATTTCATCTTTCTTTACTGATGAATAGAACTCCATTGTGTAAATATACCACATTTTTGATAACCACTCATCGGTTGAAGGACATTTAGATTGATTCCATCTCTTAGCTATTGTGAAAAGAGCAGCAACAAACATGGTTGTACAAGTGTCTCT